CAGGAATCGCAGCGATCGGTCTGTTATAAATACCCACTTTTTGCCATAATTCCAAAAGTAATTTTTCTATTTATACGCCGGGCTCGCGAAAGCCTATAATTGAATATGTTTTTGCGTTCTCCCAAATACCGTCCAGAATATGGTCGCATTAAATGCTTTCCAAGGGGAAATGCTTCATCCCCAATAAAAAAATAAGGCACTTGCATATCGGTTCCGCTTAAGCAACTGGTTCCTTCTGGAATATCCAACATCCCATTCTCCACATTCAAGGCGCTGTTTCCAAAAATTCCCGCATCACAGTTCTTCCCCATAGATCCAATATCGACCAAAGTATATTTATAATTGTGATCACAAACAGCCATAAGTACGATGCTGTATCGTTTGTGATAATTAAAGTACAGCGAACCAGAATTCGGAGGGCATCGACATGTTGAGCATCGACATGTTTTCCATCAATTGCCCCCAAGCAATGTGGAAAATTCCATAATTTCCAAAAACCCTCAGCAATTTGTAAATATTCTTCTCTCGAAGGAGCTTGTAGATAGATTGAACCAAGAAGTCTTCCAAATACATCAGACGTCTCTTTAATTATTTTATGTACAGTTGACAGACCAACACGATAAGCAAAAGCAATTGCTGGAACTTTGTCTCCAATCAGAAATCTGTAACATTATTAATATTATGATATTAATTACCAAATTGTTTTTACATATAAGGGGAATGGCCCGATACCCGAACAGTACCCAGTACCCGAACAAATTTGCATATATTCCTTATTTTTTTCTAGAAATAAATATCAAAATAACTAAGAATTTTTTTTATAATTTCCTTAAACATTTGTCATTTATATTTTTATTAAAAAATTGTTAATAATACAATATTATCAGCAAAAAAATTTTTTTTAAACATGAAATTATGGATTTGCGATTTTTAGCACAGTCTTACGAATTTTGTTTAGAAAGACCGACTTTTATAAATAAGAGTTTTTCTTAAATGTAATATACTTAATTGTATTACTAAAATAAGTTAAAAGTTATAGTAAGTTTTAGAATAAGTTTCAAATATTAAAAATAAAAAATATATTCAAATTTATAAGAAATTATCGCGTTCGGATTGTGGGTCACGCAATAAGTCATGCGTCCAGTTACTCGAACAAGAAATGAGCAGATTATTTATTCATGTGCTGTCTTCAATTATTGACGTAAGTTTTTCAATATCTTGATTATTTATGCATACTTTTTATGTAATAAGTATTTATCAGATCCATGAATAAAAAGTATATATATTGTTGCGCTCGCGCCGCGGAAAATCATCGATTGTGACGTGTGGGCTGCGAGTTGGCATTGAGAAGCGTCGCTTAGTGATTTGTAAATAAGTTGTGAAGCGTCGCTTAGTAATTTGTAAACAAAGTGTCAAGTGACAGTTACGCTTGGTCCTCGGTGCCGTGAGGACGCGTTTCAAATGTGAGACGGTTTTCTTAATTGTAAACGATAGTTTTGTTGTTACGGTTCAAATTGTGTTATCGTTGAGTTAATTTAAGTTTGTTATACTTAAATTGAATTTATTATTTCTTGCGTGAGCGCATTCGCGAGTGATTGTCGCGAGTGCAACAATATTATTTCCTACAAAAAGTACCTACATTAAAAGTAAGAACGAAAAATATATGACCTAACCTCAATTTCATATATGGTACATATATTGTACAATTGTTTTATTTTTTTTAGTTTATTATTATGTCAGGAGGAAAAATAAAAAAGAAAAATATAAAACAAAATGAATTTATGTATAAGAAGGAAGACATACCAATTGCGGTCGAAGAACGTGAAGCTTGGAAAACCATTGAGACAAATTGCTGCTAAATATAAAATTTCTCCAACAACTTTACATAATAAAATAAATAATGTTTCTTCAATAAATGCGAAAAAAGGTCCACAAACAATTTTAACAGCAGAAGAAGAACAACAGCTTGTAGATTGGATCTTGTATAGCGAAGAGCGAGGATTTCCAGTTACGCAGGAACAACTTTTGAATAGTGTGAGGTGGCTTGTCTTAGATTTAAAAAAAGAAACTCCTTTTACTAAAGATAAACCTGGAAGACATTGGTACAAGGCATTTTATCGTCGTCATCCTGAGCTGAGTAAAAGAAAGCCACAAAATCTTAGTTATAGCAGAGCATCTGTGACCGAAGAAGGACTGAGAAGTTGGTTCGCTGAAGTAAAGAAATATCTGGAAGACAATAACTTGTTAAATATAGATGAAAATAGAATATTTAATGGCGATGAGTCAGGTTTTAAATTATTTCCTGATACAGACAAAGTGATAGTTCGTAAGGGACGTAAAACTGTACATAAAGTTGTAGGAAGTAACGATAAGGAGCAAATCACATCTTTGTTTTTGTATAATGCAGCTGGTGATCAGGCACCGCCTTTAGTGCTTTTTAGTTATCAGAGAATGCCTGCAAATAAACTTTCCAAAACTTTGCTGCTTCAAACTTTCCAAAAGGATGGAGCATAGGCAAAACTGAAAATGGTTGGATGACTAGTGAAAGTTTTTTTGAATACAAAGTAAATGTATTCTATCCGTGGTTAATACAACAAAATATAGAGTTTCCAGTGATACTGTACATGGATGGACACTCATTGCATTTTACTCTTCCACTTAGTACATTTTGCAGAGTAAAAAGCATTATTCTGATAGCCTTGTTTCCTAACTCGACTCAAGTTATACAACCTCTGGATAGAACATTTTTTAGAACACTGAAGAAAGCATGGGGACAAGCTGTTGAAGATTTTAAGCGTGAAAAATGTACTATTAATATAAAAAAAGAAGACTTTGGGAATATTTTGAAAACTGCTCTCAGTACTCTAGATTTAAAGACTATAATGAAAAATGGTTTTGAAGTGTGTGGTCTTTCTCCATTTAATGCTGATAAAGTTAATTATGCACTTTTAAAATATAGAAATGCAGAAAATATTAGCAATAAAAATGTAGAAAATTTGAATTTATCTGTCA